TTAAGTCAACTTTTTAGGTGGATCTTTCTTTTGGCTTTAAACTTCATATTTATGTTTAATAAAGATAGACAGAATCGGAAAAGAGACAACATTTTATCAAAAGGCGATATCAAGTTTATATATAAACCTGAATAAACTTCTTTAACACCATTTTACACGCCTAGCCCCACAGTTGAAAAACGTTTTTTTGAACTTAAGGCCCCCCTCTCGCACACTTTCCTCACCGGCCTCACACCGCCTCTCAACCCCCCTGACGTACACCTCGCTACATAATTTCAACAATATGCGTGCATTGAGTGCTGGCCCACCTCCTTGCACCACCACCCCCTCCCAGGCAACACCACCACAATCTACGAAAACGAAATCAGACATAAAAACATTACATTACAAACCCTTATTTCCACACACACACACACACACACACACTACAAAGAGGAAGGAAAAGCCGGCAATCGCAAGGCGAAGCGGCCAAAACTGAAACTGAAACTGAAGCAGCGAAATCGCAGGACTCAAGGACGTGAGGTGAGCTCGGGGCGAGTTCTCTGCCATCGACAAGGGATGCAAAAGTGAGTGCCAGATATTAACCCTCCATGGGGTGTGTGTATGAATCTGTGTGTGTGCTCAGTATGCCTGTATTGGTGAGCCTTTGTGCGATGTGTTTGGGTTTTCGCCGTGCTTGTCAATCCCGTCGTGCCAAAACAAACGCAACGAGCATTTCGCCGATTAGAAGGAAGAACCAGCCGTGAGTGCAACGCGAGCGGACGGAGCCGACGATTCCGCGTATTTTCCGCATATTCCGGCTACTGATAAGAGTCCGCGATAACAGCAATTAACTGTAATAATATAGACAATTGTTTAACTCGAATCGAAGACAAGAAATTATCGCGAATTCCCAGAATCTGTGCCAGCTAAATAGAATGTGACCGCTGCGAACTTGAATTTTCCTCAATCTTTTCTGCCGGCAGCCTTTGTTATTGTTTGCTTCAGCTTCTTCCACTTTTTTTTGGGAGAATAGTTCTTTGTGCTTGTGCTTGTGGTTGTGTTTGTGAGAGTGTGCCAGTGGTTGTGTCTGTGAGTCAGCGCAAATGGCAATGCGCATCTTTGTTTACCCGGAAAATCCAAGACTCTCATAGAAGAAGCAGAGAAGTGGCAGTGAAAGCGGCGCCAAAATCTCAGTCTAGTGTTTTTCTTCTGCCTTTCCGGCCGAAACAATGAACAATTCGTTTGATAATTTGCATGCCGATAGCGCTAGTCGAATCAGCAACAACAATGGCAGCAGCAACAACAACACCAACACTAACAGCAACGATGGACCCAATAATGACGGCGACTCGGACGAGGAGGTCATCGAGGGCATGGCACTGCTGGAGGGCAACTATCAAGTGCTGCGCCAGTGGGTGCCACCCGCCCCCAACTATTGGGATGCGCCGCCCAAGGCCATCATCAAGTCAGCCGAAGTCAGGTAAACAAACGAGTCCCATACTCGTATATGCAACATGCAACATTGTGGCATATGCGTATGCAACACCGCGACAGCAGCAACATGCTTATGCAATTAGGAGAGCAATTGCCAACGCTACATTTGGCGATTGCCTTCAATAAGTTTTAATTAAGTGCTTCGGGTTTGATTTGACAGCGCATTCCATTTTGCTGCTCACAAATTGCACAGCAATTAACTCGAGTCGACTCTTTTCAAGTCTAGCTTCGATTTTGAGTCTGCACTGGGAAAAATAATGTACTCGTATTTATGTTACTGCAGTTTATCCAAAAGTGTTTACTGCGGGTAAAGGTTCATCGGCAGCGTTTCGACATTCAAGGATTGAAGAAGATCTGCTAAATATTAACAGTTTTTGGGATCTGTAATTCCACAACTACCAAAACGCAATTTTGTAATATTTTCTAGAAATAACGTAGAATTCGAAAATCTGGTACTCTTTTCCAATTCAAAAATATTGGATTAACTCAAAAAAATTAACCGTTCATGATTTCCTGCTATTACATCTTCCGTTACTTAAATACCATTAAAATATCGATAGCTCGTTATCGATACATTTGTCCTACTCTGCTATTGCTAAACCAATAAGACCCCAATATGAATGTTGTTATTGTCATAACATTTACAGCTATTTCTCTCAGTGATTTGCAACTTGGTGTTCGATTGCAGCAGCAGACCTCTCTAACGGTCCAAGGCAGCGGCAGCACTTGTCGCCACGGCACTATTCAATAAAAGTGCAGTTATTTGTAACGCACTTTTATGGCCACACATGCGATGCGAACCCGCACGATCTGGACCGGGCGGGTCCAACCGCCTGGACAAGTCCCGTGTCCGGCCAATGGAAATCTCAATGGATTTGGCCTCGGCGCCCGACAAATAATTTTCGCGTCTTAACAGCTTGCAATTCATTCAATAAAAATTTGATTATTATGGGCGTCATCAAATGCGACGAACAACATTTGCATGTCGGGCAGCAACTAACCGAGCGCAAATAAATTTGTTTTAGTACGCTGAGTACCCTGCACTTGCAGGTGGCAGTGGGTATATGGGTTTTATGCTTGATTCGGAGTAGCAATTATATGTTACTTTCGCAGTCATAAATTAAAAGCTCTTAACAGGATAATTAGACATAAATGTTTGATTAAAATCAAATAATATTCCTACAATCAAGTCCTTGGGCAGTCCTACTTTTACATAATTTCCATTGAACTTGCTGAATCTTCATAACTGGATAATCTTACGTCTTGATACTTATTCCTTACTCATGTCTATATATGAATGGTGTTGGAATCCTTCCTATCATCAGTCGGTTAGCATTGCTGACCTTTTCCAATTCAATATATTCAATTGATAAAGTGACTTCTTAACAGAAAAAGGCATTGAATTCTCAATTGTTGTACAAGGCCCAATTTATATTGATCGTTTATATGCTTCTCATTGAATATAACTGAAAAAAAATATTTAAATAATTATTTACCTATTTTAATTTGAGAAATTTAGTACTATCAAAACGAATACGCTTTGAATGAGTTCAGCTACTGGAAACAAACTTCCAGACTTAACCTTTTAAGTTGTTTATTTTTATAACTTGAAAAGTGAACCCATATACGGATATAAGAAACTTAATAGAACTGCAATGTTTAAAATGATGACATATTATTGTTATTCCCTTAATTTAAATTATTTTAAAATGTAAGGAATTGATATAAATCTGATTCGCAAAGAATCCCCAAGTGTTGCCCACACCACGGACCCATTTCTGCATTGATAGCTCACAAACAGATTGTACGGGTTTATTTGTCCGACAATCCGACAATCCGTCCGCCCGTCGATCCGTCCGTCTGTCCGACTTCACTCAACAAGCGCCACAGTTGGCGTCTGGGTCTTGAGTTGCTGCTGCTGCGGCTGCTGCTGGTGCTGTTGTCTCACTGTCAACACCAAGAGGTATGCAACATGCAGATGGAGGATGTGGGGAACCGTGGGGCAAGTGGGTCTTCGTCGCAGTCGTTGACAACTGCAGCATGAGTCTGCGGAATTGAGTTGCTGTTGGCTCTTGGCTGCTGTCGCTGGCTGTTGGCTGCCTGTTGCTGGCTGGTAAATAATAAATGCGTTGCTAGAGAGCATCCGAGATGGGAAATCAAAATGCAAACGCTGCCAGATTTTTTGCTGGATCCACTTGAAGCGGCGGCAACAATGTCCCCTGGTTTCGGCATGGCTTCGTTTTGTTTTCCTCCGCCGGGCCGTTAAGTGCAACTCCAGCAGCAGCAGCAACAGCAGCAACAGCAGAGGCAAAGGCATTGTTGCAAGAACGGGTATCTTTTGCACGTTCTCAATATGCATTTCGGAATTACAATATGTTGATTGCATTTCGCCGGCACGTAGATGGAACACATGCACTCCAGGGCTTCCAGCCGCCATAATAATGATGAGTATTGAAATTGCCAACAATGCTCCACTCCGACCCATTCCACCTGCTCCACTATCAGTCCCTATTCGGCTTCCTTTTCTGCGGTCTGGCGGCCTTTGTTCTTGGCCAGGATCCCTCCCTTAGCGGTTGGGGCTAAATTACTTTATACTTCTGTACGGTTCGTTGCCAGGGTAATTGATATGGCTTTGTTTCACTCGACTGTTTTCTGTGTTTCGCCCTTTTGTTAAGCGGAAACTTTCCGAGTTTCTGGGATGGAAAACCCACCAGCCGAAGAACCTCATTTCACTTCCTCTTTCCCAAAGGGTGGGGTAAATCCTAACCCCCAAGCCACATGAAAGCTTAACTTCGACATCCAGCCAAACCGCAGATGACATAATTAATGAGCCTATGAGCCGAGCATAAATAAGGAATAGTTCATATTCAGTTGCTGCTAACGTTGCACATGACCTGTGTATAAATCAATTTAATATTTCTCCTCTCCTCTCTTATCGTTTCAGGTAAGTTGATATACGACAGCCGAGGCGACTCCTTTCTCTTTGCTGGCCGTGCCAGTCACAATGGCAACATCCACATCAACAACAACTTCTGCCAACTTTTTGTGTGTTTGAATTGTGTGAAGGCGGCACGTCAATGTCATTGAGTCTTAAGGTAAATGGCGAGGGAAATTCAAATTTGAACAACCGAAAAGGCCGGCCCAACTGCCTGGGCCAAAATTACGATGACTTGTCACACGAACCGGGTTTTCTATTGGGCTTTCGGTGCTATTTGGTGGGGATTGTTAGCAAATTAGCACAACAGCCAGCCTCATAAATTGCAATTTACTGGGAACTAAGTATAGTTGAGTAGTTTCCCCCCTCCCTGCCTGCTCTTAGACTAGTAATGGCCACTTTTTCAATACTCAGTTACAGCTAACGAGAAGGTGGTTTATGGCTACTTTAACAGAGAACACGTCATAAAAAGAACAGTTTGATTTTTTAGTCGGATCACAGACAGTCTCCGTAAATTAATGTAACATATAGAAGTTAATGCCAGTTAATGGGGGTATGATTCCGAGTAGGTCATGAGTCTCCTGTCAAACTTATTCCTCCGCGTCACACTTTTTTAACAAACATCACCTTGAGAGATCAGACAGCGAAGAAATCCCTAATATGAGGCGCACCCACCACTCGGTCATAGTCTCCGCGACGAAGTATTCGGACTCCGAAAAGCAGAACTTCATAGATTGTTTACATGATGAGGAGCCTGAGCCCAAGCACATTCCCGCCGAGGTCTTGGACGAAATTTTAAACGAGGTCCTGAAGCATACCCATTTCCCGCAAAAGCAGTCGGATAGCTCCCTGGATCAGCACTGTCAGTCAGTGCGAGAGGCGAAGGCGGAGAAACAGGCGAAGCTAAAGAGGCAGGACGATGATCTCGACATGGATCCTCGTCTGCGCAACTGGAACCGCGTGCTGGAGCAGCGCCAACGAATCCAAAAGCGGATCGAACGGCAGACGGGTAAGCGGGCCGAGGACGTGCTCTTCAACCGCTCGGCTACCATCGACGAGGCCGGCAAGCGGATGATCCTGCGCATCCTTGACACCGCCGATCGTTCGCGACCTCTCGACCGCCTCAAAGAGAATGTCACAATGACCTCGCTGAAGCCACGCTGTGATCCCAATCTGTGTCTCGAGATAAAGGAGCTGTTCGCCGTCAAGCCGACGCTGCAGGAGGTGGAGTTCATTGGCCTGCCGGAGGTCACCCAGAAGGAACTGGCCTCCACCCAACTGGCGGCCAACGAAGTCGAGAGCCAGTTTCAGCGCTCCGAGGTTCTGAGCCAGCGCCTCGAGACGAAGAAGCGCTCCATCCAACGAGTTCTGGAATTTGCGCCCGATCTTCAGCAGCTGCAGGTCACGCAGACAAAAATGGAGCCGCCTGCCAAAGGGCCACCGATCACTAAGGTCAGCCAGTCTTCCTTAAAGGATATCTCAGACGACTCCACCTTTGAGGAGGAAGAGGACTTGGAGTTAGATTTTTTGGTGTCCTTTAAGGAAGGCGAGGGCGATACGGAAGTCGAGAAAATCTTAAAAGATGTCGAGAACCAGGTGGAGACCCAAGATTTGGACGAGCCACAAGACTTAAACGGCCTGATGGTTAATGGCATGTTCCTTGACTACCGCCAGCCCAGTGGCCCTACAAGCAAGAATATTTATCTGATGCTTGAATGTGATCCATACGAGCGCAAGGTGAAGATGCTGCTGGATATCCAGGTAAAATGTGGTGTTAGTTGGGGAAACCTGTGCTCCAGAGCTAAGTTTAAAGGGTTAGAGAGTCCTCAAAATAGTAACAATATTTAGTGATTATTTCTACATACAGACAGGAAAGCGGGGCCATCCCATAGCCTCGTTCCACACTTTTAGTGAGGTTACTCAGAACAAGTTCACTAACAGGACCACTTTCCACAGAACCTGAGTCCGAAGTTTGTGCACGTCTTTTGGTTGAGCAAGGCCCGCTTGCGATCCGATCGTGCGACCGTAGACGCCGAACTTGTGTTCGACCGCAGCGAGTTCATCCTTGAGCCGCGGGGTCGCCGCATCATCCAGGTAATGTTCCAGCCGCAAACGGTGGGCATCTTCACGCAGCGCTGGCACTTGTGCCTGAGAAGGACTCCATTGTGCGGCACCCGTCGCCTGGACGTCGTTATCCAGGGTAAGTGCACCATGCCGGCTGAGTTTCTGCGCCGCCTCGAGGGTCATAAAAAGGTGCCGTTGGACAAGCAGCAGAGACTGCAGGCGCAGAGTATCCTTAATATGCAGGCCAGCCTGGCGCCGATCATTGAGAATCCCCGGCCCCTGTGTCCCTACAAGAGATCCCTTGATGATCGCGAGGTTTTCAATGCCCAAAACTATTCCTATCGCTGCGATCGGTACGAGGATCTCGAGATTCTTAAGGGCATATATGAACTGGCCAAGAAGCCACGCGATCGACCATGGGATCTGAGCATTCAGGCACTGCGTAACATTATTGGCAAGCTTGAGAGCCGGTTTCTGCGCGAGCATCTCCACAATCAACTGGTGAAAGTCCTCGAGCCGATGAAGTGCAACAGGTGCTCGAATTTTCCCCTGTTGGAGCATAATCCGGAGCAGGAACGGTCCCGTTTTATCTACGTGCGTGGCACTATCAGCAGCACCATTGACGCCTGGGAGACCATGGCCTTTGGCCTGGATGAGCAGTTCTTTAAGCTGGAACTCCTTCGCTACCTCTCGGAGAACCCCCTCCCTAAGGAGTTCGGCGGACTGTCGCAGAAGAACCGCCAGCAGGATCCGTTTGAGACATCAGTGAATATAGAGGTCGTGGAGAACATCTCGAAGAGAGTCAAGTCCAGCAAGTACTTGAAGGACTCCCTCTACATGCAGACCTACAGTCTGCTCTGCGATGCCGCCGAAGACATTGTGTCCGTGATCGAGAGCACCGCCGAATAGGATTCGGTCTGCCGATGATATTGAGATGCTCTTTCACCCGTTCCAAGCTACACGGAGAACTCTGAGCTTTGTCTTTCGGGCAACATATATTTTTTTAGGTGTTTAAAAGGCATTACTGAAATAATAAAAAAAAACCTTTTTGATACGAAGAGAAGCTGTCCGGCAATCTTCTACCTATGAGCGGATCCTTCAGGTATCCTAAATATTTGGTTATTTATGAGATCTCTCTAAGCCTAATGATTGATTAACTGTTAAGAAAGTTACAATATCATAGTGGTCTCTAAGCTGAAGGTTCGGGAGTAAATCCTCATCCCAGCTCTTTTATGGAATCAATCCACATCCTAAAAATGCCATGAAAGGCGTTCTTACTACGCCTGGAAGATTAGTTTTAATAGAACTTGAAATATAGCTTAGAATAGATGGCTTGGAGGTGATGGCTTCCATATGCCTACATATCTATATGAGTCAGGGAACACCGTTGCCAAAGTTCTTTATATTTTTCCTACAACATTTGAAGTTAACATACGGAATACTAATCACAGCTCGAAGATGGATAGTCAGGATTTAACGCAAACGAACTCCACGATGACCCGCAAAACCAGGGATTCCGACACCACCTCGAAAATCACTATGGCCAACCTGTTGTCCCTACCGTCATCCTTGTCCAAGCCAACAACCCGCGCGAATGCTCAGGATCAGCTGAATGGCTCCTCGTCAATGTCCAAGTACACGGAGCGCATGGTGGAGGATATCCTAGCTGAGATTTTCAAGGAGAGACGCGGAGACTTCCCGGAAACCTCCTCCTCTTGCCGCATGGCTGAGATGCCTTGGCCACGTGAGGAGCAAGAACCGCATGTGGACAAACGCCTTCGGTACTGGAAGGAGGTCCTGCATCAACGTAGGCAGATGCAGCAACGTGTCCAGCAGGAGACGGGAAAGCTGGCCAGCGAGGTGCTCTTTAACCGACGTTCCACGCTGGACAATCGCGATGGGCAGACGGTGAAGCGGGTGTTGGACTACGCGGATCGCATGGAGTGCGAGCATTTGATGGCCGCGCCGGTTTCCAAGCTGGGCGACATCCAGGATCCTTGCACATGCCAAGTGATTCGAGGCCCAGAATCTACGCTACCGAAGGCCGAGAGAGTCGGCTACAAGGATGTGGAGATCATTGGCTTGCCCGGGGTCAGCAAGTGGGAACTGCTGGGCCAGGAGGCCTTAGAGCAGAAGCCTCCTCCCGGTTGGCTGCAGTCGGAGTTCCTGGACGAACGTCTGGAGCAGCGCTTTCCAGAGATTCAAAACGTGGTGCCCTTCTTTCCCGACATAGAGGCTCTGCAGGTTAAGGGCACGGCCATCAGCAAGCTTGAAAACCCACCGAAGCCAGTCCTGGTCAGTGTGGAATCCATGCACACTGTGACCAACAGCGAAAGTCCAGAAATCTGCTCCGAGGAGTGTACCTGCGAGTCATGTGGTGAAACGGAGGAGAAATCGACTGAGGATCAACCGCCTGCCATTCCGGATGTGGGGCTGCGGGTTAACGGAGTGGACTACATTCCGGGCGAGACAGCCAACGGCGGGATCAAGGACTGCTTCGAGGTGGTCAGCCGGTTCAAGTGCGATCCTTACCAGCGCCGACTCAAGCTCGTCCTAAAACTGACCAACATCGGCCAACAGACACTCTCCTTTACCTGGAAACAGAGCACTTACTACTACAACCGGGGATCTCTGTTGCTGGCCCGGGACAACGAGTTCCATTTCGATCTTGAGGGCTTCCGGCTATCATACGGCGAGACCCGGAATGTGGCGGTGCTGTACCAGCCGCGGAAGGTGGCTATGACCATGGAGTTGTGGCTGCTTCATGTGGAGCCGCGAATCTTCTGTGGCCGCCAGGAATCGCTGCTGCTCCGTTTACACGGACGCTGCTCGCCGCCGGCGGATTACTTGGCCAAGCTACTGGAGTGCCAGTGCGCCTGCATCTGCAAGTCAGATGCCGTGGTCATGGACAAGTTGACCACACATTTGGGTGCACTGGCTCCGTTGGTGGTGCCTCCGCCGGCATGCTGTCCTTACGATCGACCCCTGGACGATAGGGAAGCCTTTAACACCTTGAATCCGGGGTATAACTGTGCCCGTTTCGATGACCTGGAAGTGCTCCGCGATTTCCACAAGACTTTGAAAAAGCCGAGGGAGCCCCTTTGGGATCTGCGCCTCTCCACGATCAAGGATTACATTCTGCGGGTGGAGGGTGTGCTGGAGCGGGAAAAGATCTTTGCCGAATTCAACAGCCTGCTTTCTCCTCTTGTGGGTGGAGCATCGCCTCTGAGCACGTCTACCCAGCGAGATGAGCAGAAACAGCGCTCGCGATTCATATATGTGCGTGGCGTGATCTGCAATGGGATCGCCGAGTGGGAGGACCTTATGTTCAACGTGCAGGACTCGTTCTTCAAGCCGGAGCTACAGCGGTACTACCAAAACCTTCTGGACGATCACGAAGAAGGGGAAGAAGAAGAGGACGGTGAGAGGCAAGAGCAACCAAGTCCAATAACGCCCATCGACATGGAGAAACTAATGGAAATTCTGGGCGAAGAGGAGTTCGACGAGGAAAAGATCCGAGTGGCGGTAATGCGCAAGCTGTACAAGTCAAAGTACTTCCGAGACTCTTTGTACATCCAAACGTACTCACATCTGTGCAACATGTCCGAGGACATTGTGTCCGTCATCGAGAGCACGGAAGTGGTGCCAACCTAGTTCCGGAGAAGTTCAGAGGATAGCTATTACTTCTCCTTCAGATATGCCTGTAAAAATCATTTGTTTTCGAATTAAATTAAGTTTAGTTTGTAAATTGAAAGATCAACCTATCAAAGTGTGGAAATGCAGTGCCAGTTTCAGTGGGATAGGGATTTTAGTATAGAATGTTTTCATTTTGGGAGGAAAAAGTGTGAAAGTTTGCTATCAATTCTAAAGGAAATGTTTTGTGAAACAATCTATCGTTGTATAGAAACGAGGCTAACTAAGCATAGGCTACCCTTCTGACTAGTTTAAGTATCTTTCTCAATTAACCAACTAAAGATTCCGGTGAATGCTTTCAACTATTTGCGGATCCATTCATAAGCCCGAAATAGTTAATCGCCTTATTCAGACTTTCAGTTTCACTCCATCTTAAGTGACTTGGAGTTGACCTTTATGTCAAAACACACGGAGATTGACAACCTTTACACCTCGAAAATAAATAAAATAAAATAAAAAATGTACTCAAGCAAAGCGAATCTGCTGATTACAGAGGATAACTCTGAGGGCAGCTTTCACCCGGACGACTTGGCCAATGACCTTATAAAAAACATATTCCGCAAGTACCCAGAGCGAGGACTTCACGAAGAGTCATCCTCCTATGCATCATCCTGCTCAAGTTTGCCCCGCGAAAAGTGCAAGAGCAAAGTGGACCGTCGCCTGGATTACTGGAAGAACATGCTTGCTCAGCGGCGGGAGTTGCAAGAGAGACTGCGGAGGCAATTGGGCCGGACTCCAGAACAGATGATCCTTAATCATCAGGGGAAGGCAGGGAGTCGTTCGGACAAGGGCTTAGTGGAGGTTGTGGGACTATCCATCCATTGCGCTAGTGAACTTCAAGATGGGGACAAACCTCAGAAAGATGATCAGGAATTATTTAGAGAGTCCAAGCACAAAATCTGTAATCTTGAGGTGGTTGGCAGGAAGAGCAAGGACTGCCAGGAGGCTCGCTTTTCTGTCCCGAGAGCGAGAATTTCTAAGCTGAGTTTAAGCTTCGGAGAGGTCGCACATTCCACACAACCAGCGAACGGACCTGGCGTCCGTATCAATGGAATCAACTACTTACCACATGCTCCGGAGCTTTCGCCAGCTATGGACCGGATGTTCACTAGCCATCCCTTCCAGCGACACCTGCGCACCATCGTTCGCATCGAAAACATCGGAAACCAGGAGCTGAGATTCAATTGGAGGGAGGTGAACTTCTTCTCGAACAACGACACTCTCATGGAAGCCGATCCCGAAGACTTCGTATTCGATGTTCGCCCCTTTGCGCTCCTCCCGGGGGAGTTCCGGGACATTACGGTCCTGTATCAGCCGCGCTGCGTGGCCATTGTAAAGCAGCGCTGGCAGCTGCTGACCAGGCCACGGATCTTCTTCTGCCGTCCTTCTGCGTTCACGTTGAACCTTAACGGCCGCTGTACCCCGCCCAAGGAGTATCTGGACCGCTTGAGAATGGAGAAACTCCCGGTTATGCCTAATGAGCCTCGAACTGAACTAGAGCAGCATATTTCGCTCCAATGTCCATACGAACGGGAGCTGGAGGACCGCGAGATTTTCAACCGGCGCAACAGAAGCTTTCAGTGCCGAACCCACGACGATATGGAACGACTCTTTGCCTTCTACAGGCACTTGAGGACCAGCCCTTCATTTCGCTGGGACTTCGGTGTGCACACGCTGATCCACATGGTGTGTAATGGCCAGGACACTCGGCAGCGCATTCGCCACCTTTCGGAATTGACCAAGCTGCTCGACGGCCTAAGAAGTACTTCGGCATTACCACTTGACAAGGGGGACTCACCCGAAAGGTTGAGCGAGCGCGATCACACCAAAGAGGTGTACGTACGTGGAATACTAGCGAGTCGATTGGAAGAATGGGAAGAGAAGGTGCAACTTCTTGGGGAAAGGATCGCCAAGTGGGAAAATCAAGGCAGTCAGCAGGAGGTGAAGGACTTGCACAGCTCCAAGTACTTTACGGACGCGATCTATATCCAGCTATACGGACTTATCTGCATTGCAGCCGAGGACATCGTCTCGATGATCGAGAGCACATCTCTGATCTAGTTGTCACCCAACACCCCTAGCAGGATACGTACTTTACACTAAAATAGTAACAAAAACTAAAATGAAACACTTAAAAAACCAGAAAAGCTCAATAAAAATGGAACGGGCATCAGGGGCTTTGCCTGGTTCGCGCCACCGCTCTTGGATGCAGTCCTTCCTCAGAACCACAGAGTCCTTTAAGACTCCAGGGTCGCGGGGGAACGAGTTTGATATGAAGTCGGAAGCCACGGGGATTCAGTTCGGTAATCTCAAAAATCTGAAGGACGTTACACTCCAGCAGGGCGAGCAGATAGTGTACGATATTCTCGGTGACATTTTCGACAAGAAGATGGGCATCGCCACGGTATCGGAGTCGGAGTGTTCGTTGGACGAGGATATAAAGGAATCTCTGAGCATGGATCCGCGCCTGAAGCTGTGGTACACTACGCTACAGAAACGGGCCTCTGTTCAGGCGAAGATCCAGCGGAAGCTTGGCCGCCGTCCCGACGAGATGCTTATTAACGTGGGCAGCACGGTAGCTCCCAGGGATCGAGGTACCGTACAGCGGCTCCTTGACTTTGCCGGTCGCATGAATCCCACGGCTTTATCTCGGAAGAAGCCCGGTGTTCTGACTGCCCAGCTAGACTCGCAGTGCCGACTTCTGCCAGAACTCCATGAGACGCTGCCGCAGGCCGAACAGTGCGGGCACGTTGCGGTGGAGATCATCGGCCTGACCGACACCACCAAGCAGGAGATTCTCGGCACGGCGCACCCACCGCCAGAGAAGCCCAGCCAGTGGATAAAGTCACTCCAGCTGGAGAAGCGAATTGAAAAGAAGAGCGACGACATTAAACGAGTTCTGCCGTTTTTCCCAAGTGTGAGCAAGCTGGAGGTGGTGGGCGGCCACGTTAAGGAAAAGCTCAGCCAGAACAATTCCAGTAATATCGAACGGATGTCCTGCAAGTCTATTTTCAGCGTGAGTGGCTCATCGGAGATCATTCCGGATGAGGAGATAAAGGTCGAGCTGCCCCAAGAGCCAGTGCCAGCCCAGGAACAATGGAAGCCACGTGCAGCCGTGAAGATCAACGGTGTGCTGTACTTTAACTCTGGGAAACGAGTTATTTTGCCGGAGATTGCAAACGTCGTCTTCCAGTGCCATCCGTACCAGAACGAGCTTAAGGAAGTGGCCCGCGTGGAGAACGTAGGCAGCCAGGTGCTCACCTGCGAGTGGGCCATTGATTGCAAGCGTTCCGGCAAGTGTGCCAACCATTGCCAGAACTTCCTGATGTCGCACGCCAACTTCACCGTGTTCCCGGGTGAGGAACAGGTCTGCCGTGTGCTGTTCCATCCAACTAGCTGTAACCTGTTGAAGCAGCGCTATGAACTCCGCATCTTCCCCAATGTAATCGGCTCGGTACGGGGTGTCTTCTTGGCACGACTGACCGGACGCTGTGTTCCCGCACCGGAGTACACGAACAAGCTAAGGCGCCATAAGGAATTGATTACGAACCGGTCCAAGAAGCTAATGGCCGATAAAGTGGTCAGGATCCAGGCATCTATAGTTCCCCTTTTGCAGCCTGACGAAGTGGTGTGTCCCTATGAACGAGTGCTCGACGAGCGGGAGGTGTTCAATGCCGAGAATCCCGGCTACAAGTGCGAACGGTTTGATGATCTGGAAACTCTGAAGGCGCTATACCTAGATTTGAAGAAGCCTAGAGAGCCCTCTTGGGATCTGCGACTGGAGACAATTCTCGAGGCGATTCTTCGACTTTCGGACTCCAATCAAAGGCGGCTGTACTACGAAAAGCTGATCGAAGTCCAAGAGGAGCTGAAGCAAGGTGGTGGCAAAGGCTCGCTCACCCACTTTGGTCGTAGTGATCAGAGGATTCGATCCATGTTCATCTATGTTCGCGGATGTATCTGCAATGGCATCCAGGAGTGGGAGGAGATGATGGGCTCAATGGAGCTGAGTGGCCTCAGGCTGGAGATCAATCGTTACCAAGCGAAACTGCAGGACAAGGAGATCGAGTTGGAGGAGGTCTATTACGAAGATGAAGCATCCGAGCCAAAGCCCTGGATGCGGCAGCTGCGTAAGGAAAACCTCGTCCTCTATCTCCTGAAAAAGCTGCGATCGCGGAAATCCTACAGGGATAGCCTCTACATGCAGACCTACTCGCACCTGTGTGACATGGCCGAAAATGTGGTCTCCGTTATCGAGAGCACTCGGAACACTTGAACCAGTCCAAGAACATTGAACTTAATGTGTGCAGTTTGGCTAGATAGTTATAGTCTAAATTTAATGTGTCCGAAAAGCAGTAAGAAGTTGGAAAAGTCTCACTAAGAAAGGCGGATAAGTCCCCAGGGCCTGGTCTATTGATTTGGAAATCTATTAGCTCTGGGGGTGAGGGATACTATTTGCCTGCCTGGGGACACACCTGTGCCCCTGATGTGGCGCTAACTTTTCCCATTACGATGGCCCTTTATGGGCCAACAAAATTGCCCATTTGGCAGAAGGAGGACTCGGAGGCCCACACCTCGCAACCCCCATCATGCTTAATGGCGCGCAAATGTTGGCCGGAAAAGTTTCGTAGCTGACTTCGATTTGAGCTAGTTTTGCATTGATTTGATGACACTTTGGGGGTTATTCGATTCCACTAATAAACGAGCCATGTCCCGCCCCCCGCAACTTCCTGCCCATTCCTTCCCAGAGTTGGCGTGTCAAAAAGTTGTCTGCACATTCGCTCGGGCTGCTCTTTTGACGTTCCCATTTCGGCGGTGTCTGATGAAATGTGGCGTCGAACGAGGCCATTATGCTTGCAATTAGCCAAATTGATTTTCTGATAGCATCAACACTAACCCTAATCCTAACTCCTATTCCCATAGAACATGTCCACTTGGACCCTTATTAGACTTTAACTAATCACCCGCGATTTCCATTTTCGTTTCAGGTAAGACAAGTGAACAGTCCAGCATGAGTAAACGCATTTGTGGGTAAGTCTTTGATGACCGCCACCTCGGGAGCTTCACACGCCGTCGGTCCACAATTCAAAATCCCATAAATCATGCATCATGAGGCATTCCGAGATGTGCAACAAAAAGCGGCAGGCAGAAACAGAAACGCAGTGTTTCCGTTCACACTCGCCGTCTAATTAGCCCACAGACCGCGTTGGGTTGGTACTAATGCGCGGCCTAATGATCTCCAGTTGGCAGCCATGGTGACCAACTAACATGGTCAGCAGCAAATTAACCTTGAGCACGTCACACGGCCAACTCGGTTGACATCGCACTTTTTCTCGTTTTATAGCCAGTTTATTATTTAGGAAGTTTGATGGTTGGGAAATGTTTTATGTTTTTAGAGCAGCAGACTCGAAATAGGTTAGCCTCAATCTAAATTCCCTTAATATCAGCTTGCTTTTAATGTGGCTTATGTTATGTCTTAGGGCAGACGTAATTTATTAAAGTCGCTCTTTAATCACTCAGCCATCGTAGGGTAAAGCCTATTTCACGGTAGCCTTATTGAAAAAACTAAATTAGTATTTGGGCATAGACACATTATGTTTGGAATTTTGACCAATATCGCGCTGTAGTTTACGGAATTATATCATATATATGAATATCACTTTAAATCACTTTTTGAGAAAATGTAATGGTTGTCAAATGACCAAGTTTCTTTACTAAAAATTGGCTTGGTTTACAGGGATTGGTAGTTGAATTGATTTTAAAGGAGTGAGAATTCCTTTTCTCATGAAATACAGACACTCAGTATTAACTTTTATAATTTAAATCATTGATTTAAAAAAGAGAATTGATAAACACACTCCAGATAGCGCCACCTTACGTTGATGGTTAGAATCAGAACTTTTCCATTCTTACACCTCATAATTCACCTTTTACAATTATCTACTTTATTGGGAATATCGATGTAGAATAAGCAACGAGATCACTTAAGAAGAATATCGGTGATATTCAATATTCTTAAAATACAATGAATATACTTATACAGAATGAACATCAACAACATTGCTGAAATATATTTCCTAAGAAAATCGAAGAGTGAATGTTTGTCAAACCATTTATGAATCTTACATTCAAATCTACATGTATGAAGTATATGAGTCAAGGTTTTCTTGAAAGAAAGTATACTTTCAGGATGACATTATGACCCTGGGCAGTATCAAACATTTTGCTCGCTAGAGTTGGCATCACCAGTTTGATGTTGGGGTTGCAACTTGAATGGAGCTCGAAATAAGGTTTTTATGCTCCTTACTCGCAGGGCAAAGAGGTGTTTTGTAATCTTTGAAAAGTCATGAAAAAGCGTTCCTCATTCCGAAATGAATCTACATATATTCTAGAATCTAGTCATTTCTGACTGACTGTCAGTCTCTCCGTATAGACGCTGAGACCTGTGAGCTATTAGAGCTAGACAGAGAGATTCCTTCGCTTATTTTATAAATAAATAAAAGTTGGTATTGATTTCAAATATAATATACTAAAATAATTGGTTAAAGATATATGGTTTATTACTATTACTCCACTTCAAACACCAATCAAACCATTCGATCAAGCCTCCATCGAACACGATCCACAGCCTGGTATCCAACCGCCCAGCGATCCACAACTGGAGATGTTCGATCAGTCTGCATGCGTTCTATCTGAGCATCCAACCCGATTCAGTCTTGTTTGGACACAAATTCGAGCGGTTTGCACATGGCACAGGTGCGCTTAGTCGTCGAGTAATCCGCCTGATCGATCGACCGCTCGGCTCTCCGTCGCTGCTGAATTCGGTTTCGGTTTCGGTCCACGTTATCTTGCGCCAGATCTGTCATTTACCGTTTCCCAGTCAGATCTGTGCAAAGTGCACAAAAACACGGCACCTCTTAGTGCTAACTGAATCTCCAGAAATCCAAGAAAGTTGACAAAACCCAGTGAAGTGCAATCAATAATCCAAGGCAATCCCTTTCCAGGGCAAAGCCTTTTTCAACTGGCAGAGTGCTCCTTCTTTGGGCCAAGTGAATTTATGCAACAACTCGCGGAACGTTCAATTATGCTAAGCGCATGGGATAAGCCAAATGGCTAAGTGAGGTGCGATTTAAGCCATGTTTGCGGTTGCAGATTGTCAACGCACCGACATGGATACACGCGGATACACTAACATCTCCCACAGATACAGATACAGATACAGATACAAATACAGACACAGATACCGGCGACAATAAAATTACATTAAAAATCAAATGAAATTCGAGACCGATTGATATGCGAGGCACAGGCGTCGGGTCGACTGCCCTAACACAATATTTTTATGGGCTTATCGAGTGTCGAGAATCGGTTAGCCAGCCAGGGTGGGTGTGTTCCTTGGCTTATTGGATTGTTGGTAGTTGGTAGTTGGCCAACGAAAGAGTTGAGAAACGAACCCGGGGAATATGTACATATTCGTCGGTTCATCGGCTTAATGGCTTTCATAAGCTCATGCTCATTACACGTCAACCGAAGTGCTCAACTTGATTTACTTAGATGCGTTAAGTTTTAATCGCCGTTCGGCGCACTTCGCGCACTTTCACCAACTTGCTGCAGCATCGCGGAATGAAGTCATAACCAAATAGGCTTACGACCTGCTCCGCACATAAAACATGACTTGTCTAGCCATAAAGACACTCGGCAAAAGCCCGAAAATAATTTGATTACCGCTCACTACCTGTGGCTTTCTCCGCGGCTTGATCCAATTAGTCATAGTGCGGGTATAGCATATAAATCTCGAGATCTGCAGATCTGAAGATCCCAAGCTAGTGCCACCCACAGAAGTGTAATGAAACGGACTTACATGGCCTGCAATGTGTCAACAATGGCTTGTTAGCAATTGCTTTTGAGCCAACTTAACGAATATGTGTGTGTGGGCTTCAGACATGGGTTTCCAGCTGGAAACACCTTATTGACAAGAGACATTTGGCTCGAAGTGCACGTGTGTGTGGGTTGCCGGAGTGCTGAATTGCCGTATTGCCGGGCTGAAATTTATCTGCGATTTCTAATTGCCTGACATGCCAATTTGAATTTAAAGCGCAAGCGATAGTGGTTCTGCGGCGCATTCCTCCGAGATGCAAGCATAGTCGGGCTGCGGTGGCATGATGGCCATAAAGCACCAACGGAACACTGCAATTCACTCCGCTTGTTTATGGCCGGGCCAACTAAATCAATTTTCGCACTGCGGCTGGCTTCGATTCCGGGCTTTATTAAGAAATTCTTCATAATTATGTAGCGTCGGCCGGCGGCGGTCTGAAATAAAACTGTTGTTTATGGCCGAGTTGCGGCAACTAGTTGGCTCAATTATGGCTCTGCTGCATCAACTTTCTCCCTCACTTTGGGCCAGCTGCCACGGCTGCTTAACCCCAATCGACGCCTCTAACTGACTAACTAACTGGCGTGTTAATTTGTTGGCTAGTTTCTTCCTCCTCACGCAGCCAGCCAGCTAGCCAGCTAACCACAATTGCCAGAGCATGAAGAGATGCCCGTACGCTCTGGGAGTACCGCCAAGACACCGAAAGAATCCCGCCTCGGAATAGATTGGCCACTTTACAGTTATTGGTTTGGCTTTGACTTTGGTTAGCATAACAATGGTCCGAGTGGGTCAACAACCTAACCTTCGTTATGTCAATCTCGGTCTTTTGTCCCTCCATTTGCATACAACACATGTCTCACGTCCATTTAAAGACGCAATTAAGGAACTATTTCCCAGCCATTCATCATCGGGAAGCTGCGAATTTCGGTCTCTAAATTAATTAGGCCGCGTTATGAGCTTTTAGAGCGGGAAGTCGTAAATAGATATCGGTTCCGTCGATGCGAACGCCAATTTGATCTGTCATCCTGTCAGGCCGCGTTAGTTTCCCAACCATCTTCCAGGCCGATAAGAACGGGTTCCCCGGAAAATGGAGCACGAACGTTACCCAGCTCGTTTCCTTCTGCTCGACGTTTTTTGATTGCATTTGACATTTAACACGAGTGCGCCGCAGATTAGAGCGGCAACTGCCAGCCGCCCACAAGGTTTCGGTTTTTGGAGGCGTTCCCAGCTCGATTTTCATTTTCACTTTGTTTTCCGCGACTCCACGAGTCTCGCGAAATCAAGCGACTTGCCAGCTGGCAAGCTGCGATCGAGTTTTTCGAGTGTAAGCTCAATTAAAACGCGAGAAGGAATTCCAGAGCGGCGACAATCAGTTTCGGCGGAGACAAAGCCATTTAACACCCCGCTCCGGAGATAAGGCAGGCGTGAGATTATTATCTGACCGATGAAATATGACGCCCAGACAATGGCTCATTAGATCGCTTGGCTTTCGCCCAAACTAGTTTGGCTGGTGGGCCTAAACTGTGTAATTATTACGGGCTGGCCCAGCCGTAGCTTTCAGAGGCCTAAAATTATAGTTCGGCCGTAAAATAGACAAACAAGTTAATCCATTAGCGAGTGAGACATCTCCGCCCGAATAGCAGGCACTCTTCATTCGAGAACCAGAAAGAATCCAGCTCTCCAGAATCCAGCTATTAAGTGCATATTTCTCATTGTTTATATTGTCTACCTGGCGGGCTTTCGTATGTTAATATCGGAAAATGTGCCAGCTGCATAATAAATTATGAAATTTTACAGTTGCAGCCGCCGCTGCCGCTGCCGCTGCCGCTGAATGAGTTGTCACGTCTGCGGCTTTCTAAACCACTTAGGTAGGCAGTGATAAGTCCGTGGATATGCCGGATTCTTGGATTCTGAATGGGATTCTTGATAGCTTGATAACACAATTTCACTCAGTTGAAAGGAGGCATGAATGTGAGGTGCAGAGAGGGAGCGGGGAACTCAGCTCAAGTGGGCGCAACACACAAAAGGTTGAGCGCTGCGGTGAACGGCTCTAACTGCGAGTGTCGGGAAAGTAAACCAAGACAAAGCAATTGACTTTTTAACCTGCATTTGTGTAAATTACACTCGGAGAAAAATATGCATAAATAGCCATAAAATTAATTGCCTCTGTCTGCCATTTTCCACGCAGCTTGGCAGCCGTGCCGCTGGCCATGAAAACTTGAAGCCCGACAAATGTCCGGCAATAAAAGGCACCATAAAGCTACCAGGCCGCATGTGAAGGGGGAAAATCCTGGTCAAGTGGGTAATTCCAACTGGGGATTGATGACAGAGCCGCCAGCCACTCAAAACTAAACTAGAGTCGTATGGAAAATCACAGATAATGGCAATGCAAAAGGCAGCAAACTTCTGTATTTCCCTCGCAAGAGGTGCAAGCATACGCCCCGTTGGCCCAGTCCGAAGATTTCAATCAGCCGCTGCCACTGGGTCAGGCATTATCAGATATTAACGCCGGCAATTTGGCATCGGATAAATTACGCGACAAGCATCAATGGCGTCACTTACACATGTCGAACAACCGCCATCAATAAATACTAACGGTGCCTCGCGGCCAACTCCAGCTCCAGCTTCATCTCCAACTCCTCATTCGCCACCACCATTCTATGAGGCATGTTGCATCTTGGATCGGGAGTCTTCCATCTTCTGTCTTGGATCGCCGGAAGTCTTTGTTTGGGCATCGCTGGCCGCCCGGCTCCATTGCTGCCTTATGATTATTGTGCGATCGCGTTTTAATCGCATCGGAGCAGAGCTCTTTGTGGCACATGTGAATCATGCGCAAGTGCCGCTTTTCCCATTTTTCCATTTTCCCATTCGAAAACTGGTTTCCCCCACTTACCCACTCATTGGGCTCTAATCACACCCGCTGTCTAACTGCAAATCTGCCTGAGATCGCGTGCTGCGGCCCCAAACTATGTTGCGGTTGGAAATCATCTTCAATTTCTGTGCTAGCCGGAAGCCAGTTGCTCCATCCAAGCGGTTATGACTGCGATTGTTCTTGTTTATAATTCAATTATGTGGCCGCAGTTCTCGAATATTTTCCCCCAGATGTTGACTCTTCGGCTGTGGAATGTTTACCTATGTTGCTTATGGTGATACATGACCAGGGAAAAGCTGTAATTGCTTCTTTATTTGGTTGTCATAACTGCTCTATCAGTGGCATACTTCCAAGTTCTTATTGGTCTCTTTCTGATTTAAGGTTTAACTTGACAAATAAGTTAATGAATCTATTCCTATAAAGTTAACTACAATCCCTATACATTTTAATTTTTGAATTCAAACAAAGCTCTTTTGAGTGGATACTTAAGAGTGCCATAAAGTTAATCATAAACTGAGCTGTGTCAGTTTTCGTGTGTTAGTCATAGCATTTGAAAATAGTTCCGTTGGCCATTTAACTTCCAATTGAGTTGTCAATACTGAACAGACTTTTCTAGCTGTGTGCCTGTACTCGTGATCTTTGATCTCGAAGACTTTGGTAATCTGATAAATATTGCCTCCGCTCTTGATTGACAGCCTTTCCATGGCATTGATCTCATAAATATGAGCCAAGACCTCGCTTTTTGTCGACTCCATTAAGGCGGTCTGGCGTAGCACTAAGCTAAAAGCAGCTTAATGCACTCCGGGATGCCCAGATACTCAGAGCTAGTGGCAGTGGCAGGGGCAGAGATAGAGCTGGAGATACAGATAGACAAACACACACAGGATACATGTGGTACGTGTTCGTATGACTGGATGATGGTAAGCTGCAATTGCTGCTAAGGCATTTGGCTACCACTCAGCCAGCTGCAGCAGTCAGCACTGATGATGATGAAGATGAAGATGAAGATGAAGTTATTATTATCTGACAAGGGCATCGCCGCCATGGAAACTGCAGTGGCTCGCACTTAGCAGCGCTGTTTTCCACCGCGTTTTCCACCGATACCTGCATCCTCTACGTGTCTGCTGTCTTTATTAGAGGCGTGACTAATCGGCCCGAAGCCTGATGGCATCGATGCCTTATGCCTTATGCCTTTTTCCTTATTTCCAATGTCCAATCTCCAATGGCTGACTCGCTGAATGGCTGACTGGCTGACTGGCTGCCATCATCATCTCCGCTTTTGGCCATTAGCAGTGGTAAGCGTGTACGCTCCGCTATTTACCTCACATCCAATCACTATTAAGGGTTCAAGCTGCCAATTTCCAGTGTCTACACAAATTTGATTAAGTTCCCTCGTTGGGCAGGCGGCTTCCGTGTGCGGTTTGGGGAAAGTGTTAGATTTATGCCCCGGCGATTTTCATCTTGTTCGAAAGTAAATTATAGCCAATCGATCAAGATGGTGGCCTTTTGTCTAGTGTCCATTTCCATTCGAGAAAGTCGACTTTTCCTCGGGCTCTGTATCTGGATCTGTATCGAATGGAGTGCTATTGAACGGGCGGTGGAAAAGCCATTATAATCTTATAAATATTCATTTTAAAATAAAACCAAATTGGAAGTGCTTGCATCGAAGAGAAGGCTGATAGATATCGCTTACGTTCGATCATATCTTTAACTTAAAAACAAAATTTAAACAACTTAAAACTAACCACAGGAATACCACGATCTTAACCGCCTACAACCAACAAACTTAAAGACAGCTAAAAACTAAAAGCAAAGCAAATAAATTTTCATAGAAAAGTGTATAAAAAACTACAAACAAGTAATTAAAATTCCAAAGGAAACCAAATTTATATTCCGAAAAACAAAAGCCACCAAAAAAGCAGCTACAAGGCCAGAATGTCATTGCTAACAAGAAGAGGCAACGAGAACTGAAAATAATTACGGGCCAAGAACAATAATAATAAGCAACATGAGCAGCCTGTCAGCTGGAATAGGCCCAGGAGGAGGAGGGTCAGGGGTAGCCGATGCTACTGCTACTACTGCTGCTGCTGGACAGGCAACAGTAACGGCCACTGGCAACATGGAGCCGGCGATGGTGCCACGTACCGCCAATTTGCTGGCATGCAAACAATGGTGGCGCGTCTGCTTTTTGTACGGGGACCAGCAGAAATATTATCGACAGCTCTATAGCAAGGCGGCGGCCCAGCGGCTGGCGGACGCTAATCAGGACCCCGACAATGGCCGAGATCGGGACTACGACACCGTGGACTGCGATCTTATCGCCGGGCAATTAGATGCCGCCGAGGATGCGGACGATGGCATCGATCTGGGCGATCACTCGGGGACTCCGAAGGGAGCAGCGGCGCCGGCGGGTCGTCCGCTCTTTCCACTCTCCTCCTCCCCGCGTCGCAGCAAGAAACTCCTGCGATCCCTGCGAGCCCATGTTCGCGGAGAGAAGCCAGCCAAGCCCGCCACAACTGCGGCTAATGAGTCCAGCGAGATGACCCAGAGGAATGCCAGGGTAACCGTCCTCGATGATCCCTTTCTCTTCGGCATCGACGCCGATCACCTGGGCGATCTGGTGGTAAGGGGCAAAAGGTATAGTTCGCTGGATGCCACCGAGAACATGGCCAAGTTCTACGGGGAACAGGAGGCCACCGCCCAGGTACTCGAGATCATTGAGCAAGAGGAGGAACAGCCAGAGCAGGAAGCACCAAAGCCTGCGCTGCCGCCCAAGCAGAAGCAGCAGCGTCCTGTTCCGCCACTCCCACCACCACCGGTGAATCGGAGCAGCCAAGTCCAGGACCTGCAACCTGCAACACCACAAGTGCCCCTTCAACCCCTGACCGCCGGCGATCTTCAGTTTCTGAACTTGAGCCTGCGGCAACGGAGTTTACCGCGCAGCATGAAGCCGTTTAAGGATGCCCACGATATCAGTTTCACTTTCAACGAACTGGACACGAGCGCCGCACCGGAAGCGGCCACAGGAGCCGCCCAGCAGGAGTCAAATGAGTGAGTAACTTTCCAGCCAGTCCATTTGTCAGATGCAATTTGGCCGCCCTGCGCAGCCGCTTTTGCCCGCTGCCGCTGACAATTTAAATGCATAAGTTCTGTTGGCCCAATGATTGATTACCAGGAGCCAGAAGTCTAAGAGGAGCTGCCGCAGCAACTTGTTGCGCAAGACGAGGCCGATGACGATGCCGATGCTGAGGCAGGAGTCAATGAACACACATTGCGTGTTCTGCGACCAAGACGAACCGCAAAATACACGCAACAAACTGCTTGCAACGAGCAACATCAGCTACTCGGGCAACTTGTTCTTGTCTTGGCAGCCTGAAACTGAAACCCCAGGGACAGTGGGTAAACACCTCTTGAAACTCAGATCAGAGAAAGTTCTCAGAAACTTCTAGAATGCTTAAAATTCTAGGGAGCTATGTGATGTTTTATAAATTAAACCATCTGAGGAGATCATAATATCATTTCTCAATGCTAGTTAGGCCTGACTTTGTAGTTAACCTCAAATAACATAACGTATCTCGCTTGATAACGCCAATCAGGCCTTTAAATTGAATAAAGACGAACAAGGAAAAGATATTTTGATTGACAAATCTCAAGACCATGTGTTTGTGGTGTCTGTGGTTTTGTTTGTTGATGTGGCAAGGAGTTGTTATTATTATAAAAAAAGTTCAAGAAAGGTAGTATCCAAGTCTCTAAGGGAATTTCTTATAAAAAGATTTTAATTAATTCTTATGCTAGATTCCAGCTTAGAGAAATATCTTTGATACTTAATAGAGGTATATGTAAATCAGGCACTTAAAATTTAAACCACCTTGCCCCAGTGTGCCTGTACCTCTGTCGGCAGTCAGGTTTCGATGCGCTGCGTTGCACTCTGGTACAGCGATCCCCTTCGGCCCCGAGATCCCGCACTTGTACGCATCACTCACAGCCGCGACGGGGCTCTGGGTCTCCACTTACGCGGGCATACTCGGGTTACGCATACGACGCGGTGCCTCTGGGCCGGCGGCGCACAAACGACAACTGCCAAAGTGTGATTTACCAGGGGCCTTTGTCCGTCCCTCACGGGACCCGATCTTTTGGCAGATCGGTTGCAGTGCAGATATATAGTATATACTATAGACATGGGTGGAATACGGCAGGCACAGAGCTGGCGCAATTTCAGAGCTCTGCTTTGGCGAGCTCCGCTTTCATGTCATGATTTTGCATAATGCCATGCAAATATCGGGCCCTCAGCCTAAGTTATTGTGTTTTGCGGATGGCAGGCACGCAGCTTATGAAATATGGCCGGTGATTGTTTTCCCTCAGCCGCATGACATTTCCTCCTTTTCATTCTGCCAGGGAATGGAAATGGGAATGGGAATCGCATCTGGGCTGGGGTGGGGTAGAGCTGGAAAAACAATATTGGCATATATTTCCATGGACATTTAAGGGCTTTGATTTAGTATGCAGGCTTTTGGAGTAAACAAAAGACTTAGGCAACGAACTCGAAACTCGCAACTCGCGATTCGCGACTTGGGAAACGGAGTAGGAGAAAGAGCCACAACTCAATTAGCTGTTGGCCAAGCTCATCTTGGCGATGGCGATAGCTATGACGATGATCAACCTTGGCAACCGCAAATTAGAGAGCAGAGCCAAGCTCGGGAGCTGCATTGGCAAACGGCCTGCTAACAGGAACCGCCAGCGATTCCAAGCGACTCCAGCAGAAGGCAATCAAAGCATAATTAATAATAATAACAGACGCCGTTTTGATGTGCCTCTGACACGGCTTCAACCCGATATGTCTGCAATCCGGTAGCCACACGCGATTCACCATTCTTGGTTCTTGAATCTCAATTCTCAATTCTCAATTCTCGATTCTTCGCCCAGAAGCCCAGCGGCTGGCATCGATGAGAGGAGTCCCACAGCACATTCGCATTAGTTCCTAGATCTATGCAAAACCCCGGAATCCGAATCTGGTTTCGCCTGAGCTTTTAATTGCCTGGGCCCCAGAGCGCTTAATGAAGATATTAAAAAATTGCACTGCAATAATTTCTCCAGCTCGGCCGACTGAATGGCTTCTGGTTTGTTCACATTCTGCCCAGGCAATTAACTTGTGTTCAGCTCGTGTCTAAGCATTCAATTCAATCTTAACTGCCATCGAGTGCCGCATAAATCTCGAGAGCTTAAGCCGGCTACTCCGAGATCCACGGCCTGCGTCTCAACTACGCGTCAAGGGGCGGGATCAGGCGGGGACACATTTACGACTTCTTCGGCAAACGAAATGAAGAAAAAACCCAACAAAATTCTGATGGTTAAAAATTTACTTGGGAAAATCTGAAAATATGTTTTTACCGTCCAGTTTTGAGTCTCAGCGGCCATACTTAATATTTATGGTCGGTGCGGGGAGCAATATGTTGCAGGGAAATGCTGGTTTTAGGGATGGCATAAAGTTGCGTAAACCGATGTGCTGCTCATATCGTAGATTTATCACGAAAAAGGTATTTAAGTAAGACTCGAAGGTATCTTAAATTTGGGAGATACAGGAACGTCTTCATCTTAGAATTATTATGATCGGTTTTAAACTGAATCCAGGTTTCAATATAGACCATGTAATCCAAGAAATATGGCCAAATAGAAAGTTTAATACTTTTAAAAAGTAATCCCCTTTAAGCCGACTTCACCTTACCTTAACAAATTGAACTCAATAACTTTATTTGGGGAGTTTTTAATAAACTTCATATTATTTCATATTTTCAATATAACTCGTGAATCGATGATGTTATCTCCTTGTTCCTATACACCTCACATGGCCTCTCATCTTCAACATTGCCTCAGCAGCAGAGTCCACACCATTGCAATCTCTCGCTGGCCATTTATATTGATTTTGGTTTTAATTAACAAAGCCATTAGGGGCACTCGACTGCAAGTTGGGAATGCCTACGCCCCTGACAAATGCTCTCTGGAGGCGTGGCAGCCAGGCTGGCTGTGTTGCAGATGCAACTTAATTGCAATAACAAAGTGCAGCCAAAGCGGCGCTGATGGCGGCGGCAACTTGCATGACTTGGCCCAGACAATTGGCCAACTGGCTTATAGCTCTTTTTTTTTTTAGACGGCGCCAGAGAAGTGCGAGACAACAGCGACAACAACCGCGAAACAGCCGCTGTGATTTATTTATGCACGGCGATAAAATATGATTTTGTTTTCGTCATTTTCGCTTAAAGTCTTTCTCACTGGAGAGTGTAGTAGGTACGGCTGCTTGGTCGGGTAATGTGAAAATAAACCAAGGCCATTAAGCGTCTCCGCTCATGTTTAGCCATGCTAATTGCCTGAAAGTTGCGGGCGCTCGGTGGGCGGGGGGTGCGTTTTGTGTTCGGGCCATAAGACCATGTTTATACGCATTTATGGCCAGCAGAACTGCGTCGCATATTAATTGTGTCTCGGGATTGGAGTTCCACTCTTCCGACCAGCCATTTAAGCCGCTGTCAAAACGACTGAAATTGAAATCGGTTATTTTTGGCTGCATGACTTGTCTGCGCCCACATCAAAGCGATTCGCTGCGGATCAGTTTAGGCCATTCTGCGATATGTACTCGGACACATGGAAGTGCGTCAAAGCAAGTGCCTAGGTCTTAAGGGATTTCGGCGGGGATTAGTTTAGCCGAAAGTTGACACTTGACTGGCAGATCAAGACAAAACACGGGGAAATTCCTGGGGCTGAGAATCGCTGGAATTCCCCCCCGCCATGGCCAACTAATTAATAAAACATTTAACGCACTCACACAGACACGCAAGGCAATAAATTAATAGCCCAGAGGAGGGAAGTTAGGGGGGGGATTTGAATGGGGAGGCAGTCGCGTAATTTTTATTGACAGCTTCACTTTTTGCATTTAAATTGCCTGCATGCCACTGGACAACTAGCGAGCAGCAACTAGCAAACTGCAACTAGCAACTAGCAACTTGCAACCTGCAACATGCAGCAGAGTGGCAAGATTCCGCCTGCATTAACACTCTTTGCATTCCTGCCTCGTTAGCTCTTGAACTTGCCCCCAAGCGGGTTTTCCAGCGATCCACTAAACGCGATAAGAGGGGGCGAATTATCATTGTTTAGAAGGGACTTAGAAGGCGGAAACTTAACAATTTAGCCGCGCTAATCTGCCGCATCTTCATAAGTCGCAAGGTAGATGACAAATCGATGGAATTACCAATCTCATCTTCCAGATATTAAACCTACAGGTTGCAGCCTGCAATGTGCTGCATCATTTCTCTGTCAGGGCATCTCATAAAATGCAATTAGCAGCTAATTATTTTCTCTGATGTCGCCAGTTGACTGTTGCCTGTTGCCTGTTGGATGTTGGTGGTTGGTTGTTGCCAGGTTGTCAACGCGACTCCGGGAACAGTTAGTGCAAAAGTGCATTTTACCGTTCTAAGTTTTTGTCAAACAACGAACCAAATCAAAAGAATCGCTTGCCAGAAGTCGATCCCCTGAATACCCTGCAGTCTAAGATGGCCAACTGAGATTTGCTTGGTAAGGCCAACACCATTTCAACTCAATCAATTTCCAGCGAACTTAAAATGTTATTTGCCCTTCAAAGAACTTTCTCATTTCAACCTCAGCTTAAACAATGTCAAAATAGTTGATCAAATCCAAGTTATTTAATATCAAAAGGCAACATTTAAGTTCAAATCTCATACAAGCCTTGCTTATATTCCATAAAGTACACCTTCGCCTAGTCTTACCATAAAACTTAACGTCCGATCAGATCGCTTTGTTAATACATAACTCATTCTAATGAAGCAATTACAGCTTGGAATGGCGAAGATAGATAGCGGGATTGATTTACTCCTGCCGAAAGCAATCTTTGACTAGGATGCCTTTTAGAGTCGGAACTAATTCCCCGTGGAATTGGTTAGTTCGTTTCTGGCCAAGAGCCAACTGGGAGTCCATTTTGGTCTGGCCAAGTTGGGATCTCTGCGTAGGCAGACGAACACAATTTCTTTGCTGCTGGTTTTGTTAAT